TAACAAAATAAAAAAATAACCGGATTACAGACGAGTGAAGCAAGTTTTTTTTTCAATGAATGACGTCATGAGAGACCATTGTCAATATACAAGCTCTAGGATAAAAGTTGACAGATCAAATGGGTGACTTTACTTATGTCGCGCGCTGTACCTTACACCATTTAACCTGCCACACGCTGTACACTTTCATACAAACAATAATAAATAAAATTAATTTGTAAAAAAAATATAAATTGAAGCTTGATATATTAAAAACAGTCAAGTTGTATAGTGTAGAAACAAATGAAAAATAAACAAATTTTAAACAAAACTCGATCGATTTACTGCTACCAACATGATAGTTAAATTTTTTACTTGTCATAGATACTTTATTACCTAAAAGTAGTAAAAAAAAAAATGGGGAATTTTAAGACCGACTCCGTCTGTAACAGTCATTCGTAGGTATGGGTGTTACCAACCAAAAAAACAAAAAAACAACCTAAAGTTTCCGGGAATAAGGAGTGGGAGGGATTAAGGACCAATGAAAATTACCTAAAAGACAACACGTGGATTACCGCTAAGGGGCCGGCCCATGCTGTTGCGCTTGTGGGTGTTGTGGGGGTAGCATGACCGGAATTGGGTGTTGCGGAGGCGGAGCTTGTTGCAGGTACTGCATATTTTGCATCATGTGAGGCTGAGTATGAAGTATGGAACACATGAGGGGCGGGAATTGGGGATGACTTTGAGGAGGCGGTGCTTGATACTGTTGAGGCGGCGGTTGTGGGCCCTGTCCGGGTGTATATTGCGGCGGTTGGGCCGGCGAGGGCGTATTCGAAGGATTGGGTGGGAGGTATTGAATTTGGGGCGGGGTTTCGTACATCCGAAGGGCGTGCATTTGATGATATCCTTGCGGATTCATGCCCGGTGGATAAACAAACTGTTGAATGGGCGGAGCGAGAAGTGGTTGACCTGTTGCAGCGGCGACTTGCATTTGACTGGTGACGTCGGTACGCATTTGACTCATCGGAACTGGAATTAAAGTGTTGATTGGTTGAAGGGCGGGGTTAGAGGCAGTGACTTACTTTTACGGACTCGGCTACCTTGTGGCGGGGGCTGGTATTGAGGCTGGCTGGTCATCATGTAGCCAACGGGCATCATGACGGGCATGTGGGGCTGACCTACGGGACCGCTCACCGTCGCTGGGATGTAAGGGCTGTGGGAGGGGGTTTGAGGGGTGTGAGGCCGGCTCGCAGACGGCGTACTCGGAGAACTGGAAGTCACAAAAACATAATTAGGTTTAAAGTGTACAATCTAGTTCACAATCATTGTGAAAATATCACTGCTCACTACAAATTTTTAATAATAGAAATCATAAATAATATTACTAAAACCATTATAATTTTTAAACAATATCAAAATAAATCAAAAAAAATTAAAAATTGTGTTGTGTTAGTTCTTCCTCAAAAACTATTAAAATCAAAATTATTATGTTATGAATAGTATTTCCGCTTTTGTCTGAAATAAAAATAGTCATAAAAACTATACGAACTTTAAAAATTAAGACAATTCCAAATGCAATATTTTCGGTTTTGTAATCAAAATTGTACTTAAAATGTCAAAAAATCCGCCATATTTTAAGACAAAAGCGGGAAATTTAAATGTTT